GAGTGAAAAAAAGCCAAAGGCAAAAGAGCACACACTGTAAGATTTCACATATTTCCAGTTCTCTAACAGGCAAGATTAAACTATGGTGGGATAAAAAACCCAGGATCGGCTCGGCGCCTGTGGCTCAAGCGGCTAAGGTGCCAGCCACATACACCTAAGGTGGTGAGTTCGAATCCCCAGCCCGGGCCCGCCAAACAACAATGATGACTGCAACCAAAAAATGGCCAGGCATTATGGCAGGCGCCTGTAGTCCCAGGTACTTGGGAGGCTGAGGCAGGAGACTCGCTTGAGCCCAGGAGTTGGAGGTTGCTGTGAGCGTGATGCCATGGCACTCTACCCAGGGGGATAGCTTGAGGCTCCGTCTCAAAAAAAAAAAAAACCAGGATCATGGTTGCCTGCTGGGGGGTAGGGGAATAGAATGAGAAGGGATTTAAAGGAAATTTCTGGAGTGATGGTAATGTTCTGTACCTTGACAGAGTTTGAGATGCATTTGTCAGAATTCATCTAATGGTAAGATTAAGATGTGCGCATTTCATTGTACGTAAATTTTACCTTGAAAGGGAGAAAAGAGGCAAAAGACTTCAAATAGACATTTCTCCAGAGAAGACATACAAATGACCAAAAAGGCACATGAAAAGATGCTCAATGGGCTGGGCACGGTGGCTTACACCTGTAATCCTAGCACTCTGGGAGCAGAAGAGGGTGGATTGCCTGAGCTCACAGGTTCGAGACCAGCCTGAACCAGAACATGACCTCGTCTCTAATAATAGCCAAATGTTGTGGCAGGTGCCAGTAGTCCAGCTACTTGGGAGGTTGAGGCAAAAGAATTGCCTGAGCCCAGGAGTTTGAGGTTGCTGTGAGCTATGATACCACGGCACTCTACCAAGGATGACAAAACGAGACTCTATCTCAAAAAAAAAAAAAAATTAAAAAAAGAAGAAAAGAAAAGATGCTTAATGTCTCTAATCATTAGGGAAATACAAGCAAACCACAGTGAAATCCCACCTCATATCCATTTGGATGAATGTTATTAAAAACAACAAGCGCTAGGAGGATGTGGGGAAATTAGAACCCACTGTTAGTGGGAATGCAGAATGGTGTGGACACTGTGGAAAACAGTATAGCACCTCCTCCAAAAATTGAAAGTAGAATGACCATGTGATGCAGCAATTCCATTTCTGGTTATCTCCCAAAAGGATTAAAAGCAGAGACTTGAGCACATACCCGTATACCCATGTAGCATTATTTACACTAGTCAAAATGGGAAGCAACCAGGTGTCCGATGATAGATGAACAAACATACAAAATCCGATGTATTCATACAAGGAAATATTATTCAGCCTTAAAAATGGAGGACATGCTGACACAGGCTACAGCATGGATGTCCCTTGAGGACCTTATGCTAAGTGAAATACACCAGTCACAAAAGCACACATACTGTATGATGCCACTTCTGTGAGGTATTTAGAGTAGTCAAGTTCATAGACAGAAAATAGAAGGGTGGTTGCCACGGGCTGAGAAGAGGGGGCAGTGGAGGAGTTATTATTTAACGAGTACAGAGTTTCACTTTTGCAAGCTGAAAAAGAGGTAGGAAAATGAATGGTGGTGATGTTTGCACAAGAAAGGGAATGTACTTAATGCCACTGAACCCTACACTTAGTTAAGATTCTAAGTTTGATGTTATGTGTTTTCCCACAGTTGAAAACTTTGTTTAATTTTACAAAGAAAAACTACTGGATTCTAGTTAATGATGCGATGCTGAAACGTTCAGGGGTGAAATGTACTGTGTCTGCAACTTTGTAGGGCATCAAAAAGTACAATGTGTATTTATGGATGGATAGAGGGATGAACTGATGGCTACATGTGGGATAAAGCAAGTATCATAAGCCACAAAATGCAGAATTTAGGTGGAGAGTATATGGAGATCACCATGCAATTATTTTAACTTTTCAGTTAGTTTGAAAATCAAATTTTGATAATAAAATGTTGGAAAGCATTAAGTGGACAAATAGCTTGTGACCTGGATAATCCTTTCATTCCCTCACTCAGTGAACTTTTATTGTATTCCTACGACAGAGCCCTGAGCTGAGCTCCGGCAATGCAAAACTGTGTAAAACAGCATCTCTGTTCCTTCTATGAAAACCAAAACAGGCTCGGCGCCTATAGCTCAACCGGC